GGCGGACTGGGTTTGCGATGAGGAGCGACACTTTTGGGTGAGGTGTCACAGACACGTTGCAGGGGTTCCACAGGCACTAATGGCCGTCGGTCATCACCGCGGTGCTCATGTCGTCCAGCAACAGGGCGGGGCCCGACGTCGCGAGCGGCTCCGCGTAGAAGCGCGAGAACTTGAAGTCCGTCGCATATTCCGAGGTCGGGTGGGAGGGGCAGCGAGCCTCGGCCGCCGCTTCCTTTGCCTTTTGCTGCTGCAGCGCGTGCTGCTGCATGACTTGCTGCTGCGCCTGCTGCCGCTGCATCATCAGCTGCTGCTGCTGTTGCTGCAGCACCTGCTGCCGCTGCATCATCTTGTGCTGGTCGAGTTTGACCTTGAGCGCCTTGGCGTTTTCGTAGAGTTGCGGAAGGCTCATTTGCCGCAGCGCCTGCGAGGGCTGACTGTATCACCACAGAAAAGAAACACCGCAGCCGGTGCGAGCGGCGGGGGCGGGTGCGCGCGCGGGGGTGGGGCAAGGGCGAGGGCGGCGCGAGGTCAACTCGTTGCGGTTGCCGTTGTGGCCGGATCCGCGCGGTGGCGCGTGCGGTGGGATGCGGCCGCGCGGGTGCGTGGTGTGTGGTGGGTGCGCGGCAAGGGTGAGGGCAAGGGTGAGGGCAAGGGTGAGGGCAAGGGTGAGGGCAAGGGTGAGGGCAAGGGTGAGGGGGGGACGGGGACCTCCATGTTCTTCATGAACTTCTCGGGGGGGAGGCCAAGGTTGCCTGGCCCCATCACCCTTTCCGCGTAGGCCAGCAGCTGCTGCGGCGTCGGCTGCGGCTTCGGCTGCTGCTGCTGCTGCTGGGGCATACCACCACTGCCCGGCCGGCCGCCGTATGCGGAAGGAGCTCCGTGCCGGGACTGCTGCTGCTGCTGCTGCAGCTGCAGCTGCCGCCGCATCTGCAACTGCGCCTGCTGCGCCTGCTGCGCCTGCTGCGCCCGCGCCTGTGCTTGTGCCTGCGCCCTCCGCTGCTGAAGCTGCTCGTACTGCGCCTGCTGCTCGGCCCGGGCGACGGCGGCGAGCTGGTGCGACTGGTGCGACTGCTGTGCGAGATGGTGTACCGAGGGCGCGTGGTGCTGCTGTTTCTGCAGCATGCTCGCGAGGGAACCGGCGTCGAACCCGCGACTGGATCCCGCGGCCTAGCAAGAGACCGCGCGGGTGATAGCGCGGGCTCCGGGCGCTGCGCGTGGGCTGCACGGGCGGCGTGCCGACGATGCGCCGCCGCTTCCGCCCATGAGATCGTCGGCCGCCGTCTCCATCAGCATCTGCTCAAGGGACTCGCCGCCCATGAGATCATCACCGCCGTCACCGCCAAACATCCAATGGCGAGAGCCGCCTTGGGATGGCAGCGCTGGGCGAAAGAATCTTACAACAAAACTCCCTCGCACAACACTGGGCACAGGACTGGCGCGCACTGGCACGAACGAAATCGAGCCAGCGCCTGACGCGAACGCGAAAAAACAAATTGGTGGGCCCCGCCGGTTTTGTAGGTACGTCCTGAACGCCTCGACGCACTCGGCGTGGCCCCTCTCCTTGGCCCACTGCAGCGCCGTCTTGCCGTCCACGTCGCGCAACGTCATGTCTGCGCCCGCCCGCAGCAGGCGGAGCACGACGGCGGGGCGCCCGAAGAAAGCGGCCCGAATCAGCGCGGTGCTGCTGGAGTTGCTGCCGCACCGCTGGTTGATCTCCGCGCCGTGCCGCAACGCCAGCTCGACCAGCTTCTCGCGGCCATACGTGGCGGCAACCATCAGCGCGGTGGTGCCGTCGCTAGTCTGTAACGAGACATCCGCACCACGCTGGAGCAGTGCCTCGGCAAGCCCTTGGTGGCCCTTCATCATTGCGATCATCAGCAGCGTCATGCCTCTCACACGCTCGCCGCTCGAAAAGACGTACTCGAACGTCGCGTCCACCCGCCGCCGCCGTCGAGCCACGCCAGCGCCGCCTCGTCGTCACCTCGCTCAGCCGCCTGCACGACCTCCTCTGGCACCGCCCCCTCCTCATCTCTCCGGCGCTCATCGCGCTGATGGCGTCTGTTGCGAAAAATAAACAACTCGGGGGACATCGCTGGGGCCGTGCGCTTGTACGGACCGCGTTCAGCCGGTCATGTCCATCCCGGCCGTGTCCATGTTGATCGGCGTGCCGGTCATGAAGGGGACGTCGAACTCGGCGCACACGTTCGTGTTGATGTCGGGGCTCGAGCACAGCTTTGCGCCTACTCTCGCACACCCCTCACTCGTTCCTGTCTGTCGGGCCTGCTCGGCACAGCTCCGCGCCCAAGAAGTCGGTGCCGGCGATGGACGCGCCGCCGAAGTTGGCGTCGACGCAGTTTGCGCTGCGGAACGACGCCCCGCGCAAGTCCGCCTTGATGAAGTCCGCCTTGGTGGCCTCGGCGCCGGTAAAGTCGCCCCCCGGCGCGAGCGCCTCGCCAAAGTCCGCCTCGCCGAGGAAGGCATTGACGAACCTCGCGTTGGTGAGGTTGGAGCCTACCGGAATGCTGACTTCCTTCTTGTGGGGCGACTCGAGTGTCAAATGGACAATCGGCGCGTTTGTGTAGTTTGGAGCCTCAGAACCAACGGATCCTACTACTACTACTGCCTACTACTCCTCCTCCTCCTCCTCCTCCTCCTCCTACTACTAGGATTGTGGGGACTACATGACCCGTACGTGAGGGGTGGAGGGGCCCGTCGGCGGAGCTAGGCGGCGCGGGCACCCACACACTCCCACCCCACCACCCAAAGCTCCCGTGCCACTAGCCGCCTCGCTTCCGCGACACGGGATGGCAGGCACGACTCGGGCGAAAGAAATTTCCGGGCGCCCGTCACGTCGCCTGACGCAGTCCGTGTTGGAAAGAAAGAAAGGTGATGCGCGCGCGGGGCCCCTTTCTTTCGTAACGTCGAAGGCTAGCTCAGAAGAAAACCAAGGGCGGCAGCTGTAGCTAGCTTTCGTTCGCCGCCGGCTTGGTTCGCTGGCGTGACGCCAGAACTTCCCCGACATGACAGCAATCGGCCGTCGGTACAACGCCTCCTAGAATGGGACGCGGTATGAAAGGACGCAAGACGGGCGTTCTCTTGGGAAGAAGCTCGTTCACAAGTAAAAAAAATCTTGCCCCCGCCGCCTTTGTACCCGGGAAGCGGCAATGCACACGCGTGAGGTCCGGCGTGCCGTGGAGGAGCTCTTCGCTGCTCAGTACGACGCGCTGCGCTCGGGCCAGCCGGACGAGGTGGACGAGTTCCTCGAAGCCTACTATGCGCCGCACAGCACCGTGATTGGCTCCTCCGGTCGCGCCCTGGGACTGGAGGAGGTGCGTGCTCAGATTCTGGACGGTGACGTCGTCATGATGCACGCCCTGCGCTCGATTGATTCCATCAATTTCCTCGGCGACGGCGAATCGGCTATCGCCACGTGCACAGCTGAGGAGGTCAGCTCGAGTGGGGTGGAGGGGGACTCGGAGCGGCACGAGATGGCAAAGTACACTCTGGTGCTCGAGAACCCGTCTGGCGAGAGGGTCCGAGCCGGCGGTCACTGGTTCGTCGTGCACTCGCACCGCTCCAGCGGATCCAGCACCGACTTCTGGGCGCCAGCCTTCCCCGACGGCGCAGTGGCGTCCTCTGCGTGAGACGAGGTCGGCGTGACGCGGCCCGAGCAGTCGCACACACGGAGAGAGATGATTAAAGATGTAGGTTGGAGAACTGTCGTCGAAAGAAGTATATCAAGCGTCAGCCATCACACACTCTCTCACTTCTCTTTGGGCTGTGCAGAGACAGACCCACACAGCGCGTCGAACTACCCTGGGTCTGGCTGCCGCGAGCGCGCGCGAGTCCACACTGTACACACGCAACGACGGGCCGAAGACAGAGCAATCACCGCCCACCCCTCGGTTTGAGAGGGGAGGAAGAGGAGCCAAGTCGAGACAGCCACGGTCGGGCCGAGGAGGAGAGGGCGGGGGCAGAGCAAAGGCGAAGCAAGGCGGGAAGGCAAGGCAGGCGAGGCAACGCAGCGGTTCCCCCTCTCGGGGGCAGTGCGCCTCAGTGGCCTTGGTTCGTCTCTCCGCCGATGAAGTCGTCCAGCTTCCGCTTGTCGGCGCTGTGGCTGCGGACGAAGGTCTCGCCGGCCGGCGTGAACTGGACCGACACCTCTGACTGCTCGGCCAGCGCCGCCAGGTCGAACTCGGACCGGTTGGGCTGGAGCAGCTTTGGCGACCTGCGTTGTGGAAGAGCACCACTGTCGGGGGAGTCGGTCTGAGAGTCGGTCGGTCCGTGGAGTACGGTGGGATGCCAGTGAGAGGGGATACGTGGTGCGTCAGTGTGGGCCTCGTCCCTCCTCTCATCTAGGCTCTCATCTAGGCTCTCATCTAGGCTCTGCGGACCAGCCCTGGGCCACCGCGTCCGTCAGCGGCGGGACGAAGTCCGCCTTGCGCGAGACCTAGAGAAGACACTCCGCTGGAAAGAAGTGCCAACGAAAAACGAAGTACACGGCGTGCGCGAGACCTGCCCTGCCGCGAGGCGGTAGAGGGAGCGGGCCGACTCCTTGCCCGCGAGCTTGAGCGTCTCGCTAGAGAGGGGCTGCGCGGAAGAGGCAGGGGAAGAGCGTTGGGGTGGGGGGGGTTGGGGTTGGGGGGGTTGGGGGGGGAAGGGTTGGCGGGAGAATGGGAAGTTGGGTAGTGGGGTTAAAAAAAAACCCCCCCTTTTAAA